TGGTGGTGGTAGGGTGATCCCATCTGGGTATGTGGAGGCAATGGGGATCATTCCTTCTGGGTATGCAAATGAAGGTTGTGGTAGGGTGATCCCATCTGGGTATGTGGGGGCAATGGGGATCATTTCATCTGGGTATGCAGGTGGTGGTGGGATGATCCCATCTGGGTATTTGGAGGCAATGGGGATCATTCCTTTTGGGTATGCAGATGGTGGTGGTGGTAGGGTGAACCAATCTGGGTATGTGGAGACAATGGGGATCATTTCATCTGGGTATGCAGATGGTGGCAGTGGTGGGATGATCCCATCTGGGTATTTGGAGGCAATGGGGATCATTCCTTTTGGGTATGCAGATGGTGGTGGTGGTAGGGTGAACCAATCTGGATATGCGGGGGCAATGGGGATCATTCCATCTGGGTATACAGGTGGTAGCAGTGGTGGGATGATCCCATCTGGGTATTTGGAGGCAATGGGGATCATTCCTTTTGAATATGCAGATGGTGGTGGTGGTAGGGTGAGCCCATCTGGGTATGTGGGGGGCAATGGGGATCATTTCTTTTGGGTATGCAGATGGGGGTGGTGGTGGGATGATCCCATATGGGTATGTGGAGACAACGGGGATCATTCCATCTGGGTATGCAGATGGTAGCAGTGGTGGGATGATCCCATCTGGGTATGTGGGGGCAATTGGGATCATTCTTTTTGGGTATGCAAATGATGGTTGTGGTAGGGTAATCCCATCTGGGTATGTGGAAACAATGGAGATCATTCTTTCTGGGTATGCAGATTGTGGTGGGGTGATCCCATCTGGGTATGTGGAGACAATAGGGATCATTCCATCCGGGTATGCAGATGGTGGTGGTGGTAGAGTGATCCCATCTGGATATGCAAATGGTGATGGTGGTGGTAAGGTGATCCTATGTGGGTATGTGGAGACAATGGGGATCATTCCATCTGGGTATGCAGGTGGTGGTGGTGGTGGTAGGCTGATCCCATCTGGGTATGTGGAGGCAATAGGGATCATTCCTTTTGGGAATACAGATGGTGGCGGTGGTGGTAGGGTGTTCTCATCTGAGTATATGGGGGCAATGGGGATCATTCCATCTGGGTATGCAGATGGTGGTGGTAGGGTGATTCCATCTGGGTATGTGGAGGCAATGTGGATCATTCTTTCTGGGTATGCAGATAGTGGCAGTGGTGGTAGTGTGATCTCATCTGGGTATGTGGAGGCAATGGGGGTCATTCCATTAGGGTATGTGATTTTTTATAGGGTCATTATTTCTGGGTTATCATAAAATCATTCTACCTGGGTATGTGGAGGTGTCAGTAGGTCATTCAAACAAGGTATTTAGGTAGTGTAAATCATTGCATGTTGGTGGTGGTATGTAGGTAGGTAGTGGTGGGTCTTTCCTCTTGGTATGTGGGGTTGTTCTAGAGACCCTCCATTTGGTATGTAGGTTCTTGTGGGTCATTGTATTTGGGTTGTGGAGGCCATTCCATTTGGAATGTGATAGTCATTCCATGTGAATTGTGGAGGTTATGTGATTGGGGTATGAGGGTAGTGGTGAAATTATTTCAACTGGGTATGTGGGTGGTGGTAAGAGTAATTCCTTGTGGGTTTTTGTGGTCATACAATCTGGCTATGAAGGTGGTAGTATAGTCATTCATGTGGGTTGTGTGAGTCATACCATCTGGGTGTGATGGTGGTAGTATAGTCATTCATGTGGGTTGTGTGAGTCATACCATCTGGGTATGAAGGTGGTAGTATAGTCATTCATGTGGGTTGTGTGAGTCATACCATCTGGGTATGAAGGTGGTAGTATAGTCATTCATGTGGGTTGTGTGAGTCATACCATCTGGGTGTGATGGTGGTAGTATAGTCATTCATGTGGGTTGTGTGAGTCATACCATCTGGGTATGAAGGTGGTAGTATAGTCATTCATGTGGGTTGTGTGAGTCATACCATCTGGGTGTGATGGTGGTGGTGGGCCCTTTTTCAAAAAACATTATTTATATTAGATTGTTTAGATGATTATGTATTAGTCTGCTGAGTGGTTTCCACAGTAATGTAAGTAGTACATTAAAATTGCCTTCTAGTCATGATGCAATGCCTCCCAACCACAATGCGCAAAAAAAACACCACATTTTGAAGTGACAATAGTTTAAAAAAAACAAAGTGTTCTCTCATTAGAATTCCATCCAGGGGCTTGAAATTGATGAGAACATTTATTGGGATATTAAAATGGGCCATGCAGATTAGAATCTCAGTTTGCCTCTCAGTTGACAGAATTGATAAAACAGAAGACTGACAGCCACATCTCGAAAGAAATGACACTTAATCTGTCTGACCATGACACGCACACAAAAATCAAATCCCAGTTACAGTATTTGACAGCCGACACATGATTTACGGCTGTATTATGATTATTATTAATATCTTTTTGTCTATGCAGTTAGTGATGATTATGACACATAATGAGACTGGGAATCCTCAACAGGGAAAATTGTTAGGGCGTGATGAGCTCCACTAATTTGAAACGACATTAAGTGTACATCCGTGGAAATATCAGCGTCATTAATGAAGCTATTTTTTCCCTCTCATATTCGTCAAAGAAGCAATGTCTGGAATGCAGATTTTTAAATTCAGTAATTCTGTTTTCGTGTTAATGGCAGTTTTCAATAAGCTACTTGCATTATGATGGTTTTTGTTCGTTTTTTTTTTTTAAAGAAAAAGTCTATGTCAGTTTATCAATATTCAATTAGATTCAGATGATCACATGTAGTCATTAAATAAAAAAAAAAAGTTCAAGCCCTACCCTCATATCTGCAAATTTTATGCTGCCTTCATTAAGAAGATGAGTCGTAATACAGCATGCACAAAAAACTATACAAAGACATATACCATGTCTTCAGAGCTCATCAATTTGGTGGGCAAATTATCAAAGAGCGATGTTTTTTGTTAAATTACCTAA